CCAGCGCAGCGCTGCTCCTCCGCCGCTGCCGAGCGCGCGTTTGGGCCACAGGTCGGTACGTGGAAATAAATACTTCTTTCCCTCCCTCCCTCCTTTAGCATCCCACGAAACCTAAAGCCAACGTTATTTCTAAGATTGCGTCACTCAGCACGGGCCGTGGGCTTCCCAGCCATGACAGAAATGGCTCCCCACACAGCACCCCCGAGCAGTCGGGTTTTGGGTAGTTCTGATGACGCACACATAGCGAAAAAGAACGTCTAAACGGCACCTCTGGGGTCTGAGGGGAGGGCTGCAAACCCCGCGGGGACTGCCGGCCTGCTCAGAGCTCTGCAGCACCAGGAGGTGACGCAGCAGCCAACAGGCATTAGCACAGGGTTAACCTTCTCCTGAAAACAAAGCCAGCGTTTAACTTGCAATCATTAAAGTGATGGATTAAAAAAGAACAGGGGAAATAGCAGAAAAAGTCACTTCTTAAATCACCATTAAAATCCTTTATGCAGACTGTAAGAAAGAAAAACATGCATGTTTTTGTTTTGTAAGAAAAGATGACAGCAACTAAAACTAAACAGCATTTCTTTAAAATAGAGTATCACTTGTTCTATCGAGCCCATCAGTTTGTTTTACAGAAAGGCTCCCAACGGTGTCAAATACAAACATAAAGCGGCAAGAGTCTGTTGGATCCTAGTAAATGCCACGCGAGACAGACTGTATACTGAAAGCACTACCAGTTATTCATAAATAAATGATTTTTCTGAGTAAATTTTGAACCAAATGGACACATCATCTGCCAAGTAACAGACCGTACTCACAGCACCTTGTGCTCCGCTCCTACTAGATCTCAACACAGGCAGGGCCTACAATTTGGACATATGACACTAAACCAGAGATCTCCAATTAATAAAGATGTGTTGCTTGTTAAATACTGTCTCTCTGACTTGCTGCTGAGGGGGAAGCTGACAGCAGCTCCGGCCTCCCCAAAGGACACGGCACTGCTCAGTCCCACAGGCAGAGGCGGACGAGGGCCCTGCACTGCTCCCCAGGGCAGTGCCCAAGCTAGAGCTGTTCAAGGGGAAAGAGGAAGGCTTCTACTTTCCCAGTATCTGGCAGTTTTCTCTATGACCACCGGAACACTGCTCAGTTGGACATTTTCTCTCCAAGCCTTGTGAACAAAATCCAAAATCTAAAGGACTTTTCAGTCAGGAATTTTTTGACTTAGTTGAAAATTTTCACCCTAAGCAAAGAAAGAAAATGACAGCTCTTCGCCAAAATGTCTTTGAATAATTCCTATTAGAAATGTGGTTTGACAGCCAGCCCCCTAAAAGAAGGAAAAAGAAAGACCACCACTCCTCCGCAGCTCAGCAGCTCCTTGGGAAGGGCTCTGCATACAGTGGGTTATGCAGAGATGTGCAGGTTGGAGGATCACCAGCCCCATGTTGATCTTCAGCTGTGGTTGTTCCCCCCTCACCATGTGCTGTCTCAGCAGCATCCTGCTCCATCTGACATAGACAAGAGAACAGGACACCACAGCATTAAATAAAAAAAGGAAATTAAAAAAAAAAAAGGCACCTTCAGAACAGGTGCTGTAAGCATGTTACTTGTGACAAATTTATAAACTCCACTACCTCCTATGTACTCACAAGGTATACACACAGCAGGTTACAAGTCTCTGCTTCTCAGGGAAATAGCACGCCTGCACAATGATGGAGAACTTCAGCATCAACTTTCAAACAGCCCTTGCTTGCGATTATACTATTACACAGGCCGTAATGAGGCACGCAGGTTAAGCAATTCATACAACTGGCAGGATGTTTAGGATTTATGGTTGTAGTGTACCCCCCAAATGGCTCTTGGCTGCTGCAAAATGACTGCCTCATTTACACACCCTTCATAGGAAACGGTTAACAATCCCATAGAGAGACTTTTATACAGTGTACAAACAATTTAAGTGTTGCAGTTCATTTAGAGATATGTGGACAGAAAAACTACAGATACTATGTAATATAAAATATTTAATGCTATAAAACTCTTATGAAGTAGAAGATTGTCTATAAATACTGCGTAACATACAATAAGAGTCATCACTTTCCTTTGCACAGATTCACTTTACTACTTTTGGAGAAAATTAAAACTTGGCAGTCACTTGAACATAATCTTTAAAACTCAGTAAAAAAAAAAAAATCTGTAATAAGGTCTTTACATAAAGTACCCCACTTCAAAGATTAGGGACATCAAGTACTATGGTAAAACAGGCCACGCAAAAACCACATTTCCCAAGCTGAAATACTGAGTTAACTTGTACAGTCACCCACAAACATACCAATTCACATTCTGTGAAGGTCTCCCTTCACTATGTCCAGGGATTATACTGCAGCATCTTAAATGATTTCATCCCATTGACATGTTTTCTGGCCAACCTACCACACGCTTTTGAGACATTATTATATTACAGTTTACAGGGGAAATACTAATATTGTACATCTGAAATACCAGCTATCACTTAGCAGATTTTAAATTGTATCAAAATATTAATTTAATGAAAATATGAAATTACATATTTTATTACTAAAAAACAGTTATTTTTATCTCACTAAAATACTGCAGGTTTTTTCTAAATATCTAAACATAATTCATAAATCGAGAGATGGAAAACCGAGTACAATGTCTGTTTATTTCACATTCCACCACTGCCCTTTTTCAAACACGACTCTTTTCTGAACCACACCGGTAGGTGACAGATATGGTGAAGTTCTCCAATGCTTGATATAGCACATACTCAAGTTTGGAATACAACTACAAGTTACTATTTTTCAGGGTACTTAGCACTGACAAGAAAGTGCTAAGACACATATTTTAAATGCCTTTGAAAGATCTTCTCTGATAGATCTCTATCTATCTTGGTGTAGATAACCACTGACAGTTTAAAAAAAGCAGAGTATTCATCTTTGTACTGATGACAAAAGACAAATACCACCACAATATGTAAAATACCTACTCTTTACCATGATCATCTTTTCTATCAAAATAATCCCGAGGCTTTCATAACAAACTGAAAAATGTTCCCAATGATGAGAGTGAAAATAAGTCTGGACTGATGAAAAATACTACATCCTGCCCTATCTTGTAACCATTAAGATACATTTTTATCTGCTTTTACCAGTATGAAAGGACAAAATAGGAAAAGCTCCTGGCCAACATCTTTTATTTCTTGAATTATCAGGATAATATATTAGTGTAACTTTCCAAGGAGCACACAGTATCTCAAACAATATGCATTATTCTCCATCCCGCCTGCAAGGATTTTCTCAAATTACCTGTTAAGTACTGCCCAAGCCAGTATCCATCTTAGTTTTTATAAAACAAAAAAGATCATTCAAACTGTAAATGACCACTATTCATTACAATTTATTTTTCTTTGACTGTAAGCACAGTTCTGAATGATGTCAGGTGATGCAGTAAGGAACTGTTAACTGCTGAAGATTTATAAATAGAAAATAAAAGCATTTTAAGAGTCTTCTTCCATAGCCACATCATCTTGTAGCTTCTGCACCATTTTGTCCTCCAGTTGTTTTGGTGTGCCTTCAAAGCAAAGAAAAAATTAAATTCAAAATGTCTCTCAACCCAAATAACTGTTTTTCTTTGAACAATGTATGTGTCTGTTCTAGGTGACACAGCCTAAAATACATTGCTAAAAGAGTTGCTTAGGATTAAACCCATCAAGCTTACAAGTATTTATTGCTAACCTCCATCACCACATAAAACTACTGAAGAATTGTTTTAATAGAAAAGCTGATGCTGTTTTTATGCAAAATCTATAATGCCGTCAACTTATATTTTCACCTGGTACAATGAACTTTGATGTAGCTGCCAACACCTAGCAGAACCTTGCGAAGGACTATAAAAGGGCATTACTTTTAACAGATCAGTGGCCTTTATACGTTAGTTTTATATAAAGATTTAAGCCCTTCTGAATGCTGTGTTGGACAGCAATAGTGTTAACTCTCAATAATGCTACCAAAAAAGGGGGGGG